GTGGCTTGACGTGTGTCAAGCGTGACACAGACGGATGTAACGGAGAATCCGGTAATTTTTCAAAATAAAACATCTTTCGTCTTCCGAAATAAATAAAACTGAATTAAGGCAAGTTCTTTCTGTGCGGCCCGGTACCAAATGCCCTGCGGACCATTATCGGTCCGCGGACGGGCGGTTGGGGACCCCTGCTCTAGATGGTCAAACGAAAACAATCAATAGTCAATATTCATACATAATGTTCTTACAGCAGTTTTTGAGAAGCTCACCTCATCTGTCATGAGGGATAATTTAGAGTGGGTAGTTAAAGGACCACAAAAAAAGTTGGTTGGCATGTTAATTTTTAGATATCAGGACTGTACAATTTTAAAAAAGACAACCACTTCCGGGAGGCCCGATAGTCGAGTGGTTAGTACGTTGACTTCACAGTACAGAGATACCGGGCTCAATTCCAGCTCCGGTGTGGAGTTTGCATGTTCTCCCCGTGCTTGCGTGGGTTTTCTCCGGGTCCTCCGGTTTCCTAGCACATTCCAAAAACATGCATGGCAGGCTGATTGAACATTCCAAATTGTCCCGAGGTGTGAGTGTTGGCGCGAATGGTTGTTCGTTTCTGTGTGTCCTGCGATTGGCTGGCAACCGATTCAGGGTGTCCCCCGCCTACTGCCCGAAGACAGCTGGGATAGGCTCCGGCACCCCCCGCGACCCGAGTGAGGATCAAGCGGTTCGGAAAATGAATGAATGAATCACCACTTCCCTCTACCAGAATATTCACAGATATAAATGTGAACCCATTTGTCCAGCCAATGAACAAGAACCCAAAGCATACCAGCAAATCTACAACCGAATTGCTGGGGGACAAAAAAAGGAAACAAGATTTTTCAGTGTGAGTGCAGACCTCAAACTAATGAAATCCTGTGGTGCCATGAGGGGCGCAGTGCATCAGCAAACGCCTGCTGGTTTCAATAGACAGAAGCAACATTGTAAAGGCACATTTACAAAGTGAGAGACTGACCATGTTGTAAAGACAAGAATGAGCTCAAGAGGCAGCAGTGGATGACTTCCTGAGGACCATCCAGGTGCTTTTGAGCAAGGCACCGAAGCCCCCACCACCGTTCCTATTCTTTACCTTGTTGTTGCATTTAGGTTGTTCCAGTAAATTAATCATGCAATATGTACACCCATTAATTGTCAAGTCTGGATTACCAGTACACATTTTGATAAGGACTTGAGAGAGGATATTTTTTAAAAAGATATTCCTTTTCTAGCTGTTCCTGTTTTTAACATTGGCTTTTTTAACATGGTAACAGTCATGAATGACGTGCTCTGCAAGACTTGACTGAAACAAACCTGTCCGCAGCCTTGAACTTTCCTGTGATGTGAGAGGCGCCTTTTGTTCTACCTCACAATCATCAGTGTGAACAGCTGGAGGTGGAGAGAAGTGAGTCGTACGTGCGCACATGCTTTACCAAAGACCAATTTCATTACCGTGTTTTGTTCACAATGCGATGTGCTGTCATTGGCTGCACGCCTCCCACTCTGTGACATATATTACTCTCAGCTGCCTCCTTTCAGCAGTTTCTCCGATGCCTGGGTCGCTGCTCACCCTGCTGAATTCTCCTGAGATCTGATGCTGACAACTACCTGAGCCAGTGAGAGGGAACCCGCATTGATCACATTCAAGAATGATGTTCTTGAAGGTACGGTAGGTCTAAAGCAGTAGCGGACTCTCACGATTGTGTGTTACATCTGTGTTCTATTCATTGTCAGTGATCACTTCATCCAAGTGTATCCACTCTTTCTGCCATGAATCATCAGCACGGACATTTTCTCATCACATACGAGGAAGCCACATCATTTTACCTGCTTCACACTGCAGCTCTAAGAATAGACGAGGCAACGGTATTTATATTTGTTTCCTTGAAGTGATAAAAAGTTCGGGAATGACATTTCACTATTGCCTCCCTCGATCATTAGGTATGCTGTTTGTGTCAGGGATAGATCAAGGCCTGGCCTGGCCCCTTCAATGAAACATGGATGGGGGCATGAACGTCATCCTGCACAAAAAAAAAAAAAAAAAGCTCCGGTCCTTCAAAATGCATCAGTGAAAGGCTTGTTTCATCATGAGATAAAATGCCATTCACAGAATGCATGGAAATGTGCATTTTGATGACCGTACTGTATAGTAACTTTGATCAAACATTTGATGTCATGAATCATTTGATGTCTTTCAAGAACCAAGACAATCTTTTCGATCAGTATCAATAATAGTGTCACTTCATTTCCAACATCTGTATTTTGATTGATTTATACATGTTGACAGTTTTAAAGAATAGCTTTAAAGGTATGGGTCATATAGTGGTTCACGGTGCTGTCTCTCACATGTGATTAAATCCTGCGACCATATTGCGTGTGGATGAGAATGTCAGCAGTTGTCCGACCTCATGTGCATCTGATTGACTGGTGACCAATTCAGGGCACGGGCAGGTTTTAGTCCTAGTCAGACTTTGTGGAGGATAGTTAATGCACGACCACACAAGGAACCAATCAACTTGGTTCTTATTTCAGGGTGTGGTAAATACAAGATTATAGTAATTGCAAACGAGGAGTAGGGGATAGTGCAACTTACTTGCTACCCAGAAGACATAAATGAAAACAACCTAACAGCTTTTTTTTTTTTTTTTTGCAGATTATCCTGTTCTGTACGCACCTATGGATGAGTGAGCGACCTGTTGTTAAGGATGCTGACTGTAAATTTTAGGCAGCAGTACAATGGATGAGTCAACAGAGGTACGAACAGATTGCAATTCTCTGCTGAAGGCCGTCTATCTGAGTCGCCTGCGTCTGACTCGGCTGCTTCTGGAGGGAGGGGCTTACGTCAACGAGAGCAATGAAAATGGTGAGACACCACTCATGGTGGCTTGCAAGACACGTCACTCCGATACGCAGAGTGTGCCCAGACACAAAATGGTCCAGTAAGTACCTCTTATCTGCGAAATCCTAATTCTAAATGCGTGCATTATTGTTCACCGTTGTCTTTGAAAACAACAGATACCTCCTGGAAAATGGTGCCGATCCAAACATTCAAGACAAGAGTGGGAAAACTGCTTTGATCCATGCGTGCCTTGCACAGGATGGAACTGAAGTCCTGTCCCTCCTGCTTAGCAGCGGTGCCGATCCAACTCTGGAGGACCACTCTGGTTTGTCCGCGCTCGTTTATGCCGTTAATTCGGGTAACAGGGGTGTGCTCAAGATCCTCCTGGATGCTTGTAAAGCTAAAGGAAAGGAGGTCATCATCATCACCACCAGCAAGCTACCATCAGGCCATCAGAAAACAAAGCAGTACCTCAATATCCCTCCACCCTCTGACCTGGAGGAGCAACCGCATTGCGCACCAACCTGCCCGTCTCCGTTTGACATCCGACGACGAGGTCCTCATCCTAGTCCATTCATTGTTCCCAATGTGGACAAGCGTCTTCATCTCCAGAGATTACACTCACAGCAATGGGTGAAAAATCCGCCCCTGCTTCTTCCGAAGGACCAGACCTCGTTGCTGGCAGAGGAGCAAGTACTATTGCCACCGGAGGAGGTCTCATCTTTAAGAGGCCTCAATTTCCATCATCAGCCTCCGGCCGTTTCGCGCCACCATAGCATGGACATGAAAGATGGACTCCTGAAAGCACTGGACAACATGTCGGGGAATGACAACAAAGGGCGAGGTGTCAGAGGCTTTGCTCGAAAGATGTCCTATGACAGTGCTGCAAGCGCAAAGCATTCCACTTCGCACCCTAACTTGCATCAAGAAAACAATCTCCCGTTTCCCCATGAATCCAATCCTGCCGATGAAGATACAGCCGATGGTCTCCGCCAGTTCAATATTTCCAGTCTGCAAAACGTTATTCATCGTCGTAACATTGGCGTGGACCATTACAGTTCAGATTCTCAGTTGCCGCAGTTTAGCAACAAAGACAAAAGCTCAAACTACCTGACAAAGGGACCGGACAGGCCCAAGCTGACAAACAGCAGGTCCTCCACTCTTTCAGGATCCAGAGAGTCTCTGGATAGTTCTGTCCCAAAACGAATCGCCGCTGGCCTCGAACGAAGAGACTCGGGGGCCCTTCTGCAGGATCACATCTCCTCCACTCGGCCAGGCTATCTCCCCCCTCTGAACATGCATGCTCCCATTCCAGATATCGGTGGCAACTCTGTCACTGTGTGCCCACTGACTACAACTAGCAAAACATTCAATACTCTTTCCAAAGGATCGAAGCCTGTTATGGCCTGTGCACCTATTTTCTCACAGGTCATGAAAGCCAGTCCAATGCTTTGGAGGCGCCACTCCATGCAGAGTGAGCAGATTAAGCAGCTGTCCAACTCTGAAGAAAAACTGGACCACTAAGCCGTTTTTAGTTTGGTTGTGCAATTGCTCTGATTTGTCTTTCACTTTTCTCTCAGCTTCGGTATTCCTTGTTTTTCACCCATCCGCAGCCCTCTGGCTTGCATTTTGGCGATACCTTGTTTGCACGGACCAAACCCCACCTCAAACTGACCTTATGTTCAAAGCGAGTCATAGTTTCAATAAATCAATGCAATTGCACACACCTGGGCAACAAAGGGCACCTCTGACCTGTCAGTCAAATGCCACATTGATTTTGATGACATAAATATGGGTGGGCTCAAAACAAAGAGTGCCATCATCTTGTGTCATTGTCCAGATGTAAATATACAGAAATAGTCTCCAGACTTGAAGCGGATAGAGTGTGCTTTTGTTACACACCAGAAGGGGAGATGGAAAGAAAAACTAGAAAGAGGCTGTGTGATTGCATGGAAAAGAAGCACAAAAGAATGCAAAACTTTTGTTGATGGCAATGGGTCACAGGTTTGATGCAGTTACTGCAAGCTCAAAGTATAAGCAACTAAGGACTGCAAAGCCGACTTTTGTCTGTTTCAATAACTTTGCTCAGCTAAAAAAAAAAAAACAGCAACAAAAAAAAAAACTAACCTCTTAACCCTTTCATGCACCCTGTAACCTGATAACATGATATGCTGTCCACTGTATTAACTGCTGTCTTAAATGAATGCTTTTGTGTAGGCGCAATGTTTAATACTGATCTTGTATTGGTAAGATCATATAATACAAATGGTTAGAAAGTTGTGGCTGGTCAGTGTGTAGTTTTTTTTTTTTTTGCTATTAAGAGTTATATATAGGGCGGCCCGGTAGTCCAGTGGTTAGCACGTCGACTTCACAGTGCAGAGGTACCGGGTTCAATTCCAGCTCCGGCCTCCCTGTGTGAAGTTTGCATGTTCTCCCCGGGCCTGCGTGGGTTTTCTCCGGGTACTCCGGTTTCCTCCCACATTCCAAAGACATGCATGGTAGGCTGATTGAACACTCTAAGTTGCCCCTAGGTGTGAATGTGAGCGTGGATGGTTGTTCGTCTCTGTGTGCCCTGCGATTGGCTGGCAACCGATTGAGGGTGTCCCCCGCCTACTGCCCGAAGACAGCTGGGATAGGCTCCAGCACCCCCCGCGACCCTAGTGAGGATCAAGCGGTTCGGAAGATGAATGAATGAATGAGTTTTATATATATATATAGAGTATACATATAGTTTTCAGTGGTTGCTTGATTCATTTCTGCCTTCTCAAGGAATCCCTGTGAACCATCTCATATTTGGGCATTAAAAGGTAAATTTAGTTCAATAGGAGTTATTAACAATTGTTGAAAGACTGCCAAAATATTTGTTTTCTCATTGTAATGACAGGTGCTAAAATTCGAAGACTTACAGTCTTTCCAGTGGACACATTTAAACATTTTGCAGCTGATCTTTATGTATTTTATACAATTGAGGCAAAAAGTGTATTTTAAAAAATTGACTGAATTTGTACACCACAATGGTTTGTTGTATTTCAATGGGATTGGCATTTGACTGACAAAAATAACTAATGTTAGAGAACCAAAGGTCCACGTTATCGAATCTGGAATACACTGAGTATTTAAATTTTTTTTTTTAAATACATTCTATGGTGGTGAAGGAGAATTGATAAAAACTTCATATTTGACAGTTGGAGGCATGGCTAGATGCATTAGCAATGACCGTGCCACACATCCATCTGAGTCACAGTAAAATATTTTTTTTTGTCAAATATTATTTGGACTGAATGGATGATAAAACTGTTCCGATTTCAGTAAAATGTTCAAAATCAAAACTGTCCTACACTCTCACAGTCGACACTGTGGATTATTCACCTTGGCAACTCAACAATTCACAAGTCTTATATGGTCTTAAAACAGTTGAGTGTGTCCATCACAATGTGACGTAATGCTGTACAGTTAAGAAATGAATGTTGAAGGTCGAGTACGAGTGTTGCCACTGGCAACCTTCTTTCCTACAATACTTTAAGGATGCAAGCTCACTGAAGGGCAATTTGGATAAAAGGCTGGATCACAAAACCTGTGTTGCAGTTATTAACTAATTTATCTAAGGCGGGCTCTGAATTAGAGTTGCCAGACCACCACCAAAAAAAATAAAATAAAATTATTTTATATATATATATATATATATATATATATATATGTGTGTGTGTGTGTGTGTGTGTGTGTAACGG